TAATTGTTTGTATATATTTTCCAACAAATAACTAAGAAAAACTCTCCCCTTTCCTTTACTTTTTCCATCCACTATATAGCCATCTTCAACCAAAGCTAATAAAGATGCATGAGAAAGTTTAATGCTTTATCATCCATTTGTTGAAATGAGTTTCTTTAACAAACAAATACACCAAATGGTACTTAAAGCTTTACTTTCGAAACCTTCATCTTTACCCCTTTATCACATATCAGTGGATAAAGCTAAGGGCATCCATGGATTATAGCTGATAGATCTACAATGAACTCAATTAATATGCTAGATGATCTAACCTAGACACGGGCTAAAGTGCTGAATGCAGTAGCTATGAACCATTTATCGAGATTCTAAATTCAGAACATAGCATCTCTATCAGAGGTCCATAAATATGGATCTCCATTTTGGCATCTTAGGAACTGTATTTGGTATACATTCTGGCGGTTTGGAAAAGATACCACAGTAAGGCACCACAAACAGCAAAAAGAAGAGATTCATTCTCTCATAATTGAAAAGTATATCACTAGATTTTTCTGGTCTGGACTTGAAAAAGGAGGCATGCACCACTGTTTCCTGGTACAATCTTTATTTTCCATACGAGGAAGGGGGTGCTAACTTCAGGAGACTAGATGACAGTTGTTTGGCATTCAATGCTAAACAGAGGTGGAAGTTTAGAACCACTGATTCCATGTCGTCCCAATTCATGAAGGCCAAGTAGTGTGGTAGTTCTCATCCTCTCACAAAGGTATGGACCAAGGGTCAGTCTCATAGTTGGAAAGCTATGTGTGGCATTAAGGATAGCGTGGACTCTAACATCTTATGGAATATTGGCAGGGGAAACATTAGTTTCTGTTTTGACAATTGGTCCACCATTGGTCCTTCATACAAAAAGATTGATGATGGCTTGGCTCAACACAATGTTCTTATCAATGAAGTGTTTAATGATGGGCAGTGGGATTGTCTTGTCTTCATGCTCAAGTTCCAGACAATATTAAGAGGCAAATGTCTCAAATGCATGTTGTTCTCAATCCAGATGCTGATGACATTCCACACTGGATATGCTCAAGTACAGGTAATTTCTTTGTAGCTTCTGCCTGGAACCTCCTCAGACAGAGGAGGCACACAAATCAATATGACTCCAAGATCTGGCACAATGACATTCCTTTCAAGATGTCATTCCTAACTTGGAGAGCAATGCATAACAGACTCTCCACTGATGATAAGATTATCAGGTTTGGTATCAACTTACCCTTAGTGTGCTCATGTTGCATGAGTCCTGGAATGGTCAACGGATCCGAGACAGTGGAATCTGTAAAGGCTATTATGCTCAAAATATCTGGAAATACTTTGTTGGTCCTCTAGGGATTACATACAGAAACGTAAATATGAGAACTCTTATCATCAACTGCTGGAATCAGAGGACTAAGAACTTTGTTATTGCTTATGTGCTTAAAATTATCCCTCCCTTTGTGTTATGGGAATTATGGAGATCAAGGTGTAGCCCCAAATATGGAATGGAAAGACCATCTGCTGCTAGATCTATCTCCTTTATAGCTTTAAACTTTACTGACAAACTGAAAGCTAAATTCGGTAATAACAGAATTGGTGAAGGCTGGGTTGACATATTCAATCTCAGCAATATTTCTCTCAATGAAGTGTCTATTATCAGTGTCGGATGGATCAGACCCCCCATTCTCTTTGTTAAACTCAATAGTGATGGCTCATGTATTGATGGTAAATGTGGTGTTGGAGGTGTAATCAGAGATTTCGGGGGGAAATTCATTATGGCATGCTCCATCCACTGGGGGATGGTAACAGCAACTGGGCAGAAGCATGTGCTTTAGAGTTTGGTATCAACTGGTGGATACAAAGAGGGCACAACTTAATCATAGGTGAGACAGACTCACTACTCCTGCATAACTGCATTTCTGGTATTTGGCCTACCCCCTGGAGGATTGCTAACAAAGTGAGACAACTTAAAACACTGGTGGAAAGCCACAGGGTCATCACCAGACATTGTTTCAGAGAAGCAAATAGAGTTGCAGATAGAATGGCTGCCTTGAGTCACAATTCAAAAGAAGTGTGTATGTATATATATATATATATATATATATATACTAACTTTAATACTCTGCCTCGTCAGGTTGGAGGTCTTCTAAAATGTTGATAGATGGCAACTTCCTACATTTCGAGTCAAGAAGAGAAAACCAAGCAAGCTTGTTTATGAGCCTCCTTAAGTAACAGCTTTATTGCCACATTTTTTGTTGTTTTGCTTTTGTGAGGAAGCGTTAGCTGAAGTACTCTCTAACTTAACTTACCCCTATCACATCTTCTAAAGAAGGTGTGGTTATATCCTCCTTCTTCAAATGTACTCTCTTCAAAAGTGGCAATAAAACCGTGACTCGTTTAAGGTTTAAAAAAAAGTGCAATAATAGATTTTGAAATCTATTATTCTCTAAATAAGTACAAATAAGAGATTTAGGACCCAGTAAATCAAATGGGCAGGTAAAATTTTGGAACTCAAACCCATAAAGTTCAAATGATGGATCCACATCTGCACCCAGATACAAGTACAGTAATTAAGGGTGACACACAAATTCACAACCAACGCATAGAACAACCAAAAAGACTTCCCTTCCACATCAAATATGCAATGTCGTGGACCACAACTCAAATCAACGTGCTAGTCAATCATAGAAAAAATAATGAATTCAGATATCTGACCATAAAGCATTTTCGAATACCTAATGATCAAACTACACGCAGATTACATTAGTAACATAAATTACAGCTAACAAAGAGCTAAAAAGAAACTCATCAAAAGTTATTGAAACTGAAAAATAGCTAACCGGAGATTCATTCTCTTCAGAGATCAATCTCAGTCCTTTCTGGTTCAAAAGTAAATCGCCGTCGTGAAAGGTTCCACTAGCTGTCCTGAATTATAAACAAGCACAAGCACTAATTAATTGTCATTTTTTCACAAGAGATTTAATCAGTATTCAGTAGTATAAATGGGATTAAAATAAAACGTCTAATACAAGTATATTAGAGGTAATTACAAGAAGCTAGAGATAGGGGTATCTTGAGCAGGTACAGAGAGCTTAAGTTCCTTCAATGGCTTCGTCGTCTTCATTAGTTGATCTCTACGCCTAGGGTTTGGTAGAAAGAGTGTTGAGATTTGAGATTTTGAAAAGTGAAACCTGCGGAGAAAGGTACACTGAATTTCAAACTCAGACCAGCGCCAACAAATAATTCTATTACTACAGGACAAGTTTGCCTCTATACCCGCTTATGCATTGTGTCAAAAAAACCTGAACGTTATGCAAATTTCTTCATGTTTTCTTTTAATTTTTATTTTTATCATTTAAGTATTTAAAGCTATGTGATATTTGAATTTGAGTTTATTTTACTTGATAGCTTTATTTAAACTCCACTATTGAGTCTATTTTTTTAATTAAAAAATTACCCACAATATTTTTTTTTATAAGGAATTGAGTCTCTTTTAAGATTACTGTGAATTATATGTTAAGGATTAAAGCTAAATTGTAAGACGAATGGAGTGAGAAAACGCGTGGTTCTACCTTTGCTATATCTAAAACGTCACAAGAAAAACCACCTTATGCTTAAATATAAACTTGGTTAACAAATATTTACTATTCCAAATGCAATCCTCTTTTGTATCACCCCAAGTAGGGGCGTTCATGGTTCGGTTTCGATCGGTTTTTCCCTAAAAAGAAACTAAACCAAGTAAGTCGGTTTTCAAATATTAGAATCAAACCAAACCAATTAAGTCGGTTCTTTCTCGATTCGATTTATGACGGTTTTTCAGTTTTTTCGGTTATTTGTCGGTTTTTTCTTGAATATAAGACATATACTACCAAACACATATTTTGGCGACCACATTTTCAACGTAACACTATCAAATCAATTGTCGTTTGAGAAATCTATTATTTACCAAGATTTATTGATGATAATTGAATCAAATAATGATGAATAATTTAAGGACTCAATTAAAAATATATTATTTTTAACATAAAATAGATTCTTACACTTAACAAAAGAAAACTACCAATCAAACTAGAATGTAAAGGTAAAGAACTGTACCAAAAGCGCAAACGGTTAACATTTACTATAAATTTAAAACTTTGTATAAAAGTATACATATATATAGGTGTAATAATAAATTTAAAATAGTTACTCCTATATTCAGTTTGGTTCGGGTTTTTTTTATTAAAACCAAAACCAAACCAAATTTGATCGGTTTTTAAATTTCAAAACCAAAATCAAACCAAACCAAAAAGTATCGGTTTTTTTGGTCGGTTTGGTTTTTGGTTTGGTTCGATTTTTTGGATTTTTATGAACACCCTTAATCCCAAGTATGCCATCTTTAATTTCAACAAAGCATTTTTGTAACTAATGTTTGATATTCCAAGATGCTTGGTATACGTGCGTATTAGTTGCAAGTGGCATTAGAGTTCATTGTTTTTTTTAAGCTATCCATTTTAATTAGTTGTGAGTTTCTCCTAGGTTTACCAGTAATACTAGTACTATTCTTATATTCTTTTATTACTAATTCTTTATTACTTGTTATGTCACTCGTTGTTATTGTTTGTTGGTTTATTTTTACCGTTCGTTAATTCGGGAGTCTATCGGAAATAACCTATCTGCCTTTATAGAATAAGGGTAAGGTTGCGTACACTAGACCCTCCCCAAACCCCACGTATGGGATTAAGCTGGGTTTTTTTGTTGTTGTCGTCGTCCATTTTAATTAGCTAATGCACTCGAGTGGATGTTATTGTCTCAGAGATAGTATTATCATAGGGCTTGATTGTGTGTACAAATAGACTCATTATAATAATTAAGCTATATATTTTCTTTTTTGAGGTATCCGAGTTGGAGTTCAACTCCTGATCACTTATTGCCTTCATTTCTCACTCAAGTCTGAGAAAGCAAGGAACTCAAATTGCCCATATTCACTCAATATATCAATGAAACAATGCTCCAATAATCCAAATCAGAAAGTCACGACTACAAATCAAGCGAGAAAAACATAGAAATACAAAAGAGAGAGAAGAAAATGAAAGGAAAATTAATAGATAACAATTCGCTAACTCCTTCAACCCTTCTCCCACTTGTAGCTCATGTACCTTCACACTTTCAACCCAAAAGAAATTGAGAAATTAATGATAAATAATTCAAACTTGATAGCAGAATAGAACTTAAGAATTTTAAGTACAATTGCACCCAAGAAAAAAACTTGAAGAAATTTATAAATAGATTTTTTTCAGTTATTGATCTCTTCCAGCTTTCCAGTTTGAGCTCGTTGGTGAGAAAATTATAGAATTTAAATATTGAAGAAAACCCTACATCATACTCCTTCATGACTAGTAATCAGATTGTATTTCTTTGATTTTCTTCAAATAAAACTAATATTCTATCATACCAGCATCTTCTACAAATTCTCTGAAGTCTCTTATTTCATGGTCTTGCACCATATTACCATGTACTCTGTCTACAAACTCAAGAATAGCATGGAAATCTCCTATTACAAGCCATGTTCTTGTTGTCTACTCTCTATTTCTCCGAGTTTACCCCATAATTCTTTCATGTCATATACTGTTTGCAAACCATAGACAACTGTGAAATGAAAGGCTATTGTAGAATTAGAAAAACTGATTGCAGCCTGTATGTATTGAGTATATATGCTGAGCTTCTTGACCACAACAATCTTGGGATCCCATAGTAGCCATATTCTTCCTTTATTATTTGGGGAGGTATTTAAGAGTCATTCCCATGCATGTGCAATTTTGTTAATCACCTGACCCTCTTTATATTCTTGTATTTTATGCTCTACTATAGCTATAATATTAACTTTATTCTCTTTAATGAACTCCCTCGTCTCCTTTTGCTTATACACTTTGTTCATTCCCCTCACATTCCAAGTAATGACTTTCATCTTAGTAATAGAGGGAAATGGTGTTGGTCATCCACATCACCTTTGCTACTTTGCCCTCTTTCACAATACTTGCCTTGCTGAACTACCATGATCTGGCTTGGTGGGTCATTAACACATCGTGTTAGTGAACTGGAACCATTGTTTGTGTCAACATTTCCTTCTTTGGTGCCCCAATTTTTAGCCATCTTAGTGGCTGATTTTGCTTTCACCAGCGTCCATCCTTTTGCTTGTGCTTTGTCGCCATATCCTTTTCCATTAGTTGGTTTAGTATTACCACTATGTGGTTGTACACTCTGTTTATCAGTTATCTTCAGCACTTGATCGCTCATTCTCTACACTTGCACAGGCTTTGATTGTTTCCCTTTCTGAATTTGCAGAGGTTGCTTCTGCAGATTCATAGTCTTGCAATTATGCCCTATTTGCAAGCATGTAGAACAATATTTAGGCTCTCAATCATATACCACTTCCTGTTCAAACATCCCACCCTTAGGGTCTTGAACTGTGATGCATTTAGGTACTGATCTAGTAACATCCATTTCAATGAGTAATCTTGCATATGATATGCGTGCAATATTTGTAGTGCAATCATCAACGTATTAAGGAGTACCTCGTCCACTACTGAATTTGCTCAGTGACTTCCCTCCCCAACAGCTTAGAGATAAATTTGGAAATTCAATCCATATTTGGATAGTTTTAAGGATTTTATTTTGGAAATTGAAATCTGCAGACCATTCCTTCATTATCACAGGTTTGTTATTAATTGTGTTAGGCCCTAAAAATAATATATCATACCTTTCCTCCATGCTCTTGAATCGAATGACGAAGTAGTCATCGTTGTGGTAGTATATTTGGGTCTTTTCTGCAAGCTTCCATTGTATTGTGAGAAACCTCTTCACTGCTCCGAGCGATGGAGAGTCTCCAATGACGTACAAAACAATAGCCAATTTCCACTTCGTACTTTCCTCTTCTATATCCTCTGGTTCCAGTTTAACAATTGTCTTCCCTTCCTGGATAATAGGGGCTACATACCTTAGGCCCATGCTTTTTTATGCCAATTTATTTCCTGTAACAATATTTGCCCAGGTTTGTGTGTTGTCATTCCCTCTAAGTAGGTCAATTTTTCTTTGCATCTTATGGGCCTCTTCATTCTCTTTGCCATTCACCTTGATACTGCTAGGATCCTTTGTTGCAGTAGGTTTTTCCTGAATTTCAATAGATTTAACCCCATATGTACCCTCTGCATTACAAGTGGTGCCACCGCCACTGTCAACCTGGGTCAACCAAATCAGTTATTCCTTTCCCTTTCCCAGTACTTGGCCTGTTCTCAGATCCTTGTTTGCCCAGTTGATTAGCCTTGTTCATCGGTGTTTGTTTCTCTGTAGATCCATGGTGATTCATCCCCCCCCCCCCCCCACCAACCCGGATGAGGTAGACCCTTCACGTGGACTAACAGCCATGTCTTCGGCAAAATTGATAGGGCTTTAGTTAACGGAGAGTGGATGAACTATATGCCTACTATTCCTGTCCATGTCCTAGACCCATACTTTTCTGATCATTCACTACTAAGTATCGAGTTGGGGAGACAATAGAAGAGAACACCAAGACCTTTCAGATTTTTGAATTGTCTGGTTGATCATCCAAACTATAGGAAGATAGTAGAAGACAACTGGAAGGCTACTACCAATGCACAATACCTAAAAAGAATATGGCTCAAGCTAAAAACCATGAAACAAGCAATGAAAGCCTTAAACACAGAGGATTTCATTGGGAAAAATCAAAAGTATCACGAATGATCTCCAACTACTACAACAGCATATGAGAACATATAATTAGGATCCTCATAACTTTGAAGTAGAGGAAGAGCTAAGATCTCAACTGGAAAAATGAGATCTGATAGAGGAGAGCATATACAAGAAGAAATCTAGAGTACAGTGGCTCAAATTAGGGGACTCAAACTCAGCTTATTTCTTTGCCAGCATCAAGAATAGGAGATCTCAGAATCAGATTAAATCACTTGTTAGTACAACAGGTGACATTATCCAATCAGAAAAGGGGATAGAGGAGGAGATTTTAGGTTTCTATAAGGACCTATCTGGGGCTGCAAATCCCACACATCTGCTATACAATTAGATGTTATAAGGAGTGGATCCATCCTTTCAAGGTCACAACAATTGCATCTTACATAACCATTTACCAGGGAAGAGGTTTGGCAAGCCTTATAGGGGATTGATGATAACAAAGCTCCAGGGATAGATGGTTTTAACTTAATATTCTTTAAGAAAGCACGGATCACGATTGGAGATAAGGTAACTAAAGCTGTTCCGAACTTCTTTGACACCATTAAACTCTACCAACCGATAAACTGCACATCTATCACCGTAGTTCCTAGAGTTAAAAGCCCTTCCTCGGTAAAACAATATAGACCTATCTCCTGCTGCTCCACAATTTATAAGTTCATATCCAAAATGCTCACTAACAGATTACAGGGGGTTATAGATAGCCTCATTGATGGGAGCCAGGTTGCATCTATACATGGCAGAGTCATAACCGACAATATTATCCTTAGCCATGAACTAGTGAAAGGATATAGGAGGAAAGGGGTGTCACCAAGATGCATGATAAAAATTGGCATGCAAAAAGCTTATGACTCTATAGAATGGGTGTTTCTAGAACAATTTCTAAATGCTCTGAACTTTCTTGAAATATTTGTTAGGTGGATCATGGTATGTGAATCGACAGTCTCATACTCTATAGTCATCAATGGTCAACAAAGTGCTCCTTTTGCTGCAAAAAGATGAGTGAGGCACGGTGACCCCTTATCACCGTTCCTGTTTATGATAGACATGGAGTACCTTAGTAGACTACTGAAAACATTGAAAGATAATCCAGACTTTAACTATCATCGTCGATGTGACAAGATGAATATAATACAGTTGGGGTTCGCAGATGACTTGTTGTTGTTTTGTAGGGGAGATGTGGTATCTACCAGGCTACTGTACAAGTGCTTTCAACAATTCTCCTTGGCATCTGGGTTGGTAGCCAATCAAGGGAAGAGTGTTGTCTACTTTGGAGGTGTGCCAAACCAGATTCAGCAGGAAATAATACAAGAGTTAGGCTTCTCTATGGGATCTCTCCCCTTCAGGTACTTGGGAGTTCCACTAAGCTCGAAAAGACTAGCAATTGGGCAATATCAACCATTGATAGAGAGGATGATAGGGAAAGTAACCTCCTGGACAGCAAAGTTTCTATCCTATGCAGGTAGGTTGCAGCTGATCAAAAGTGTACTCACAGCCATCCAATAATTTTGGTCTCAAATATTCTTCCTGCCCAATAAGGTGATTTAGAGGATTAAATAAATGTCTAGGAGGTTTCTCTGGAATGGAAATAATGAATGCTCAAAGAAGGCTCTAATAGCTTGGTACAAACTCTACTTGCCAAAATCAGCAGATGGTCTCAACATAACAGACATCTACACATGGAATAAAGCTGCCATACTTAAGCACTACTGTAACTTATGTAAGAAGAAGGATAAGCTGTGGATACAATGGGTGCATATCTACTATAGTAAGGGTAATGAAGTATGGAAACCATTGCTACACAAGCATCTTGGTTGATTCAGAAGATCATAAAGGCTAAACAATACCTGGAGAATGCAGGTCTAACTGTCGAGGAATTTCTAAACTGTAGGACATATGCTATAAAGATAATGTATAATAAGCTGAGAAACAATTATTCTAAAGTGCATCGGAGGAAGTTGATGTGCAACAACCAGGGCAGCCCCAAGTGGTTATTCATCATCTACCTTGCAATACAAGACAGACTATATACAAGGACTAGATTGCAAAAATGGGGCATGGACTATGGCACGACCTGTCCATTGTGTGATAGCGTTGATGAGGATGTACATCACTTGTTCTTCAAATGCCCAGTTACATCCCAGATTTGACAGCAGATCCTTCAGTGGTAGGGAATTCAACGGCAGACTATGGGATGGCAGGAGGAAGTTGAGTGGGTGCAAAAGCATGCCTATAGTAATAATGCAAAAGCAGAGATATACCGAATGGCCCTTGTAGGAAGTGTATATTATACCTGGTTGGAAAGGAACAACAAAATCTTCCAACAAAAAACCAGACCAGCAATAACTATAGTGAGACAGATCATTTAAGGCATACATTGCAGAGGTAGAAGGAGGAAGAAATTGACAATCCAGTTGAAGAAACTTGACTACTACCCTAGTTAGTTTGTAGGAAGACATAACCTAGTTTGTAATTCTCTATCTTCTTGTATTTGGCCGTAGATGAAGTATACTAAAGTTGGGGTTGTGGTCCAACTTTATAGGTTTCCGTGCACTCTGTAAATTTTTCCTTGGTAATAAAATTTATAATTACCAAAAAAAGTTAATATTCTGATGTCTATGTTATTGCTCATATGTGCATAGCTTTTAGTCATTTCTAGGACATCCAATCAAAATATCTATATAAGGGAAAACATTTAAATATAACCATGAATTATTCGATTTGTTTTATATTTGTCCTCCATTTATCTTTTGCTCTACAAAAATCCCGTATTGTTGATTTTGTCCCATATTCACCCCTCCCTCTAACGCTTGACTGTGATATTTTTCACGGTGAAGCCATGTAGACAAACAAAAGATCCAAATCACCCTTAATTATCAAATTGCGTTACATATACCCTCTGTATAATCTGAAGTAAGCCTCGGAGTAACTAAAGCGGTAACTATACCCCCATGTAAATTGGTCAATCTTTCCACAAATTAGTTTACATATTTCTGCAATAATTTGAAGCATGCCCTAGAACCTAAAAAGATCCAAATATACTCTTATCTGCCTTGATCGAAATATTTACAGTTAAAAACTATTAATGGTAAAAATATATTTAAGACAAAAGGTAATGATGGGGTTCATATGAGTCGTAAAATAAACATATTACATATATAAGACAAAACTCAGAATATTAGGAGTATATTTGAACTTTTTGCCTTGTTGTTAATGGGAGAAAACTTCTAATATTTCAATTGGAACTTTACATCATATACCCCTCTAAAGAACCCTCAACACTATATATTTCAGTTGTAAAAATTACATGTAGTACACATTAATTAATTGCTCCATATATTCATTTAGTCAAAGGACAATAACTATCTAATAAATTTGTCCCCTAAATTAAAGGAAATCATATATACGAAGCAAATCCAAAATCTTACTCCATCCATTTTAAACTTGGACCAAAATTAAAGAATAAAAAAGATTATCATTAAATTAAATATTTTTTTTACTATGAGAATCTTTGTCCTTATTTTCTTTTATACAATAAAAAATTATACAATAAACTAGTCATTGTATACTATTAAAGAATGTTAATATTCTAAGTAAAATAATTTATACACAATAAATAAAAATAAAAGTATGTTTGATTTGAATATTGTATTCCAAATTA